TTTCTTGAACTTCTGGAATCGTTTTTCCATATGATCTAGCTTGGCAAGGTTGTCCTGCAGTAGTTTGCTGTCTGGAACCAGCTGTAAGGCTCCCTCATAATAAACTCTTGGGGACACACAGCTTTCCTGTGGGAACAGAGTGGTTACCCATCTAAATGGGCTTATTGTACTTCTGTTTCCTCAACTATGAAGTGGAGGTAATAAAAGATAACTATTCATATCCTAAAGGGTTTTTTAAAAATATATTTCAATCATTTATAAAAGGACTGGCACCTATTAAGCTTTTAATTCCTGTTATATTGTCTGGTATGGCTTCCTAAAATAATGCCTTAAAGAGATGTTTTTTCACTTTGTATCCTTTAAGCATTTTTTTTCTCAACTAAAGAGCACAGTTAAAGATGATTACAAAAATCAGTAAACCTTAAAATCATTTTACTGAGTGAAAAAAGCTCACTGCCACAGGCTACATATGTTAGGATTCTATATATACATATATATATATACATATATATATATATACAATGCCTAAAAGGGGCACATTTACAGCAGCAAACTGAACAGTGGTTATCTAAGGCTGTGAGTGAGCAGTGAGCAGAAGATTAAAAAAAAATGGGACGATGGAGATTTTCTAAATTGGATTCTGGTGATGACTGCACAACTTGGTAAATCTACTAAACTCACTGAATTAAATTACACACTTTGCAAAGCTTTTTAAAGGAATAATTTGAGTTTTTCTTAGGTCTTCGTATAACTGTTCTATCAAGATGGATAAAATCTACTATTTGAAGGCAGTTAAAATTCAGCAATAAATTGTTAAGCATGGGAGATAGACCATGTTCATACATTTCTTGGAGAGAGATTGGTTTCAATATATAAAAGCTTGTTCCTCAAGAATATAGTATATCTTTCTAATTGCTAGCTTTTTTTAAAAAAAAAAAAATCATTCTCTTTCTTTAATAATTCTCTGTTCATTGCCAAAGTATTTAACTGGGGAAGGCCACCCCACAAGCCTTCCTTGACAGTTCTATTTGTAATTATAACAATGGTCATTTCTGTAACAGTCACAAAAATATGGATGCGCACACATACCAATGTACCTGTGCTTAGGTACTCTCCCAGTTTCTTCCAGGTTTATAAATTTGCATGTGTTAACATTAGCAGATGAAAACTGTGATTGTCATAGGGTGAAAATTGGATAGTGAGTATTAATCAGTATGAGAGGGAGGTCACAATTCTGTCTTGAGAGGCTAGCAAAGTGTTTTCAAGATATCTAAATTTAAAACATTTGGATGAGCTCGGTGTGCTATTTGTCTGATTCCTGAAGGCATCTGAGTATGAAATGCGATGAAGCCCATAGACTTTTTCTGAACATCTATTCATGTCATATTACCGAAATTAAAATTTGACATTGTGCATTAAATATGTTAACTTTTTTTTTACTTAAAGTATTATACTTTGTCTTAGGCACTTATTTTAAGAATTTCATTCACTGTTAATATGCAATTAGTAATGTTAAAATTTTAAGGAAATATATAAGGAGCTACAATTTTTTAAAATATTGAGAAGGGCCCTCTCTGGTGGCACAAAGGGTTAAAACACAGCACTGCAAAGCTAGCCAGCCAGGGTGGTGAACCACATAGTCCAGCAGACCTCTCCTGCCTTGCCTGCTGCTCCCCTCAGCAGTGTCAATCTGCCTGTTCTCCACCCTATTCTGTCTCTGGCTAATCCTCTCACTGTCCTTGCACCTTAGGCCTGTATCCCAGTTCTGTATGCATACATAAATACATCTTAAAAAATTCAAGAATTCACAAAACGCTAATAAAAACATGAAGCAAATACATCTATGATGCACAGATAGAGAACATATATAAAAGAATATTTGGAAACAAAAGGTAAAACACCAGGTTCAAATGTAATGAATGTAGAGTGTTACTGTATGAAATATATATTTCAGTTGACTTTTGTGTTGAAATTTATAACTAAGGTGCAAAATATGTTGAATATATGTAACACATTATTAGTATGTATTAAGAGAAATAGCATACTAACACTATTAAGATAATAGTGTATTAACAGTTATTACAATAAATGAAACCAGTAAAAATCATAGTGCTTTTTACAAGATCACAGTGTATACTTCACACACTACTTGTCATATAGAAGGTAGTGAATGACTGTAGTTAGTACAAGAAAGGCCAGACCACAGGTTCTGTTAACTAACCTGTACTCCCTCTGATCCTCTATTAATCCTACCAGAATACTGCACAAATAATGCTTCTAGACCTTGTGGTAACTCTATCGAAACAGAGGTACTCAATAGTAGGTTGAAGATTTGTTCATCAGTGGATGTACAAAATCTCAAACTGCTTGTGAATAAGTGGTTTGAGACTTTCAAACCTGAACTGGGCATATGAAAAGATTTAAATGTGTAAATTAAACTATTTGAAAATGTAAATAAAAACTTGAATATAACATTGACTAATCACCTAGATTGAAAAGAGCGCAGACAGGTCTGATGATGATGGTACAAAACTGGGAAACCCTAATGGGAGAAACTGCCAAGTTATTGAAATGGTAGCTAGTGAGATGACACAGTTATTTTAATGGGATTGAGGTTGAGGTTAGTGATACCACATTCTCCTAGGTACACAGGAGATTAAATTTGGGTAGAAATTATAAAACTACTGAGATATTTGAATTTGAGGATTTGTATGACATTTATATGGCAAACTATTATCTGTTTATCTTAATTTTGTTGCTCATTTGCTAAAACTTACTGAACCTATAGAGAAGCAAAAAAAAAAAAAAAAGCGGTGGGGGAAGGGGCATGGAAACACCTACTGAGCACCTACAATAAATACAAAATGGACCTTTTTTTCATCTCCATTCTAAAGCTATCTCATTTGCTTCTGTAGCTAATATTAAAAACAATGGGTTATTTTAGTAAGCACACTGTTTTCCAGATAGACTAACACAACATTAATATGGCAACCTCTTTGAGGTTAAGGAAAGTTTCAATCATTACAGGAATTTTAGTCTTTACTTCAGTAGCTTGGAAGATGTTGAGCTGTTTTTAAAACGAGCAGGAGCAAATTAATCTCTTTTGCTAGACTGGGAATTTTAGCTCTTATGCAACTGCCATTATCCTAAAAGCAGATCATACAGGAAACCAGGGAGCAGGTGTAACTGAGAATAGCCAAGTCCCCAAGGAAGCAAGAGTTCCTAGTCTTAGGGGTTCTTGATCATTTTGTGCCTAAGAAGCACGTTGGCTGTATATCAACTTACTTAGTTTTCATAACAGTCATTTAAGATATTCTGCCATTTTACAGATGGGAATGATCTAATGTGCCCAAGTTCACATGCTAGTATAAGCAGTTGATCCGCAACTTTAATCCGGGAAATTCTGGCTTCATTGTCTATGATCTTATCCATTGCACAATGCTTTTTTAAAAAATATGCGAAAGCAGCAGAAATTTGGAAATCAATTTAACGTTGCTATGAAGTTTAGAATTAATTCTGATGTGAAAGATGGAAACGAAATTGTATTAACACAACCTACTTTATTACACAGAATAATTTAAACTTAATAAAATTTCATATTTACTAGACGTTAATTCTCTAGATAAAATGATGTGCCTTGTTCCTTTAAAAATTTAGTGTTGTGGCCCTCCATGGTGGCACAGCGGGTTAAAGCACAGCACTAAGAATTGAAAGCCACTTCAGCATGAATTCGATCCCCGCCTGCCCTGGAGGTGACCACATGGCGTGGCAGACCTCTCCTGACCCGCCCTCTGCTCCCCTCAGCAGTGTACTTCATCGATCTGCCTGTTCTGCCCCCCACTCTGTCTCTGGTGAATCCTCTCACTGCCCCTGCAACTCTGGCCTGTACCCTAGTTCTGTATGAATGAATAAATAAATCCTAAAAAAAATTAGTTGTGGTTAAGCTTTGTGCTTCTGGGAAAAGGGGCCCTCCTCCCTGGTGGTTCAGCGTGTTAGGACGCAGCACTGGAAGTGACCCATAGCCACTTCAGTGCGAGTTCAATCCCCAGCCCCGGAGGTGACTCATATGGTGCGGCAGACCTCTCCTGACTCGCCCTCTGTAGTGTACCATTTGTGGAGCTCCCTGTTCTGCTCCCCACTCTGTCTCTGGTGAAGCCTCTCACCGCCCCTGCCTTCTGCCTTGTACCCCAGTTGTGTATGCATAAATAAATAACTCTGAAAAAAAAATAAAGTGTTGGGAAAAAATGAGTTTAATCAAAGTTTAATCTGCGGGAGAAGCAGAGGTATTCAAACGGGGTGGGGGAGGAGAAGAACACAAGAGACTTTGGTGAAGGTGCACGTGTCGACTGGTGGTGGGAATTTTACAGGCACTACACCTGAGAGGAGAAAGTATGCATTGTACATAAAGGAAGAATAATGTAATACACATACACACACACAATTTAATTTTTAAAAATGAGTTTGGTATGTTCTTTCTCAACAAATCTTTGAGTGCATATATGGGTAAGGAAGAAGAATATACTTTCTTAGTATCTGGAAAACACACACAGACACACACACAAACTATGAGCAAAGAATTTAAAATGTTACTAGTATGGAAAAGATAAATTTAAATATTCTTGACCGGAAAATATAAAGAGGCCAAACCACAGAAGACACAAATGTGTCTTGATGGCATCAGAATTGCCAGTGAAAATACCTGTGCTCCAGGGTCTCAATAGTTACGAGGCCGGGCAGAATGAGTTAAGATCCATTCTGCGGTCTCCACACAGTCGGGAGGGAAGCAGTCCCTTCCAGAAGCGGCTGTCAGCCAGCCAGGTGGTTACACCTTGAACCCCTGTCACCTAATTTTAGCTCTATCCTGGCTCCACTCTCCAGGGTGCTCCGCGCCCAACGAAATAACGCGAGAACGCTGCGCTGTTCCTCCCTCGCCCGCCTCCATTCTGACGTGTCTCCACGATGGGAAGCGCTTCTTTTTCTCGCGATATTTCCCAGGAAACGGGAACTCGGGTGGCCCGGGTTTCTGTGAAACATGGCGGTCGGCTGGGACCGTAACACAAGGTAAACCACTGAAATCCCCTCAGGCGCTCAACGTGGTGGTCCCGAGGCTATTCAGGGCGCGGTTGTAGTCGAGGAGGGTGAGAATCTTCCCCGGCTTCGGCTCCGGGCCTCGTTGCCCGGTTTGGGAGCTGCTCCTCTCCCTGGGGGCGTCCCTAATGGGACCCTCGGTTGCGGCGCGGGAGCCCACACGCCCGGCCCGTGGGACGCGATTCGCGGGAAACCGGACGCTGCCCCGACAGTTGCTGCCCCTGCCCGGGCTGTTTTGGGCCCGGCGTCCCCGGCTGCTGCGTCGGGGTCCCGCTCAGGGAAGACCAGCCCAGCCCCTGGGCGTCCGGCCCCCTTCCCACCGTCCCCATTGAGACAGATGCCACCTTTTTGGCCGCACGTTGTTCTGGCTTTTTAGGACAGACCCGTGTCTTGGCCCTTTCGAAGGAGTTTCGCACGCCTCTTGGGAACCGGAGAAAGGGGCAGGGCAGGACAAGATGCTATAGGGCGGACAGGTGTGAGTGTTACTCCTTTTCTTAAACCCTGGAGGGTTCCGAAACCGCTGGTGGTAGAGAGTAAACCGGGCTGTCCGGAATCTGTGGAGTCCATAGGTGGTAGTTTGGGAACACACGTGAAACAACTTTTATGTTTTGGATTTAGTACCGAGACTTAAATACAAAGTTATATAATATCTGTCAAAATGTTGCAAGACTAGCTTTCTGAGGCAATTAAAGATGCGGTGAAAACAGTTTGGTTTTTTTGCCCTCATGTGTTTGAAATTGTACTTATTTCAGGTTATTGCCTAGCCTGATACATTGAATTCTGGTTTACAGCCCTAGTAAAGATATGAGACAGGCCTGTTCACTTAATTTGTTGATTGATATCTCCAAATCGATAGTTATTCTGCTTAGAAAAAGTCATGAAAAAAATTCATTTGGTGGGGAGGGGGAGAGGATTTGTTTCTTTGGCATAATAAACTTAATCTAGTACACAATAGGTTTGTAATGACTTCACCGTACAAATCATCAAGTATATCAAACTTGAACGATCTCTAAGGAGATTTTTCCATTCCTAGTCTCTGGCAAAAACAGGGAATGTAAAGAACTTTATATTTATTTTCTTGGAGGTGGTGATTTAAACAGAACAACAGGGAAACTTATTTTTAATAAAGTTTACTTCTAGGCAGTCCATACCTGCTACAAATCCTATTTAGTAGCTTTTCAATAGGTATTATGAGTCTGTGTCTTACTGTCATAATGAGCAAAACCTTTTTCTCACATTTGCTTATAGCTTTCATTTTCTTCATTGTAATTGTTTCCTATAGTCAAGCTCTTTTTCTGTCTTTGCCTCCAGACTCTGCCTTGTCACTTAGCAGTCTCATCCATTTATACACAAAGCACATATATTGTGTGTAACTGTATTGTGGTCACAAAAACTTAGGTTGCTATATAGGCCCTTGCTATTTACAAATTTGTAAAGAACTCCATTTTTTAATGAATTCTCTGTTTTTGCTTTAAAAGGAGGGAAAGGGGGATGGTTGCTTCACAGTTTTTAATAGAGAGCAAAATGAGTCATTTAAAAAATATCTTTCTGATTCTCAGGAAACAAAGATTTGTTTGTTTTATGTTTGAGATTTATATTAAAAATAGAGGAAAATGGTAGTGCACCTGAGGTTAGTTAATGTTATAATAGGTTGAGATTACAGATGAATGGAGTAAGAGACTGGAGTGGTGGCTGCAGAACAGCATGGAAGAGCCTTGTAGCTGTGTGAAGCAGGAACCCTTTTCAGAGAAGGGCAAAATGGAAGAACTACAAGCAACATGTGAGGAAGAGGTCAGGTGTGCATGACATATATTTATAATAGGGAAATGGTCTGCCAAGGTGACAGGAATGGTAGAACTGAGATAGACTTAGCAGTAAGACTGTGGAAAGGTGCAAAGGCAGCGATTTGTACTTTAGTACTTCTGAGGGTAACAGATTAAGAAAATTGAAAGCAATTGGAAGATAGAGTTTAAGGATATTTTAGGCACACAGGGGAAAGATCCAATTTTGGGGTCACTGCCTAGATAGCAAAAGAAGTTATTCTGATCTCAAAACATTGATCTTATTTCACTTCCAAGTAAATCTTTTTACTTTGTAACTAGGTAAATATTCATTTGATTATGTGTTATGTAGGGCAAGCAGTTTTTAAAATGAAATTTTTTATAAATCTTGCTTTTGATTGTTGAAACTACTTTGATACTTTCACTTTATAAACAGAAACTATCTTCTCTGTTGGACTCTTCTTTGTGATCAAGTAATTTAAATTTTATGAAATTTAAATTTACAAGTAAGTTGTAGTTTCACTTTTCATTTCTGAGGTTCATAGGTGACATGGATGCTCCTTCTCTCCTTTCTCATTCTTCGTTTCATTGGACTGCTATAACAAGCTACTGTCCACTTTTGTTCTGCAGGAAGTTGCCCTTCCTGGCACCTCTGGCCAGTATTTGGAGGGCCTTGGTTTGTAGATGAGCAGACATCACACATTCCTGCCTCTGCTTTCAAATGCCATTCTGCCCTATATGTCTTCTCATGAACTTCTTTAAAAAACATTAGTCACAGGGGCATCTAGACTAGTATGGTCACATTTGAACTGATTTTATTTTCAGAGACCCGAGTATTTCCAGTAAAGGTGAGCTCATAGATGCCAGGGGTTAGGATTCAGTGTATTGTTTTAGGGGACATAGTTTAACCCTAAACATGGCTCTTTGTATTAACTAATTAAGTAGTTCTCTTGTTGCCAATATATGTTAAAAGTAGAAGGCAATTCTTATAACGTGGGTAGCAGCAATTGTTTCCATTTTTGTTGGAGAAGCAATTAAATATAATTAACAGACTGTAAAATAAAGGCAGGTGTTGTTTATTTTAACTTGGAGAAGTGATGGTCTTATTATAATGAATTACATTGATGACATACTAAGATTGAGTATTGATACTGCCTGTCCCAGCGTGAATGTAACTTCTATTTTGTGTGGTTTTCCAAAGCAGTGTACAATTCTTTACTGTTACCATGCCTCTGGATTTTTTGAGTGGCTTTGCTTTTTTTAATGTGTAGGATAATTTAGGAGAGAAATGGGAGAAAACATGATATTGGAGATTGCCAAAGTATGAAGAACATCACCAGCCAGTGGGCAAAGGAATGTAGTGTACTGGCGCCTAAATTTTTGAATCATGAATGAATGCAAGAAAAAAGAAAAAAACACAAATCAGGGAAAGGGCTGGGATTTGAAGATAGAAAAGTGACTTGTTAGTTTTTACTCAAAAAGGATATCCTAAGACAAAGAAAAGATCTCTGTCATCTACTTTAAATTTTAATATCAGAAAATTAAGGGCATTTTGATGCTCATAAAGAACTGTAGTAATCCTAGAACAAAGGGCAGATTTTTGTAATTGAAATAATATTGCATTTTAACATCATATAACTTTTGCTGTGTATGATTAAAACTGTGGGGCCCTCCCTGGTGGAGCATTCGGGTTAAAGCACACCACTAAAAAGCTAAAGCCACTTCAGCATGATTATGTTCAATCCCCGCCCTGGAGGTGATCCACATGGCAGACTTCTCCTGACCTGCCCACTGCTCCCCTCAGCAGTATACAGGTCAATCAACCTGTTCTCCTCCCTTCTCTGTCTCTGGTGAATCTTCTCACTGCCCCTGCACCTCTGGCCTGTACCCCAGTTCTATACGCATAAATAAATAAATCTTTAACAACTACAAAAAAATGCACTGTGGGTGTATCACATTAAATTCACCTCTGAAAGTCCAGTCTGTCCTTCACCATATGACCCCTTTTACTCAATTTACCTACTCCCCTGCTTTTCCTTTTGGTAACCACTAATTGGTCTTACAGTGCAAAAGTTTATTTTTGTTTGATTTAGTTCATTGGTAGCTCTATATGCCACAAGAGTGAAGGCACACAATGCTTACCTTTTTCTGACTTATTTCAGTAATCATTATATCCTCTAGATACATATTTATTGGAAATGACAGGATTTTATTTTTTTGTACACTGTATCAATAGTCATCTGTTAGTGGTCAGCTAGGTTAGCTTTATACATTATGTGGCAGTAAATGGGGGAAAATATATATATCTATGTTTGAATAATTTTTTAAATATTTTTTGGTAACTACTCAAGAAGTAGGTAGCCAGTTCATATGGAATTTATGTTGTAATTCGAGTAATTTCCATATTGCTTTCCAAACAGTTTACATCTCCAGCAACAATGTACACTTACTTTCTTTCACATCCTCTCCAGCACTTGTTTCTTGTCTTTTGGAAAAAAAGCCATTTACACATATGAGGGAAAGCTTGTCATTTTGAGCTCTATTTCACTAATAATCAGAGATGATGGGCACTTTTTCATGTGATTGTTCACCTATGTCCCTTTTTGGGAAAAGTGTGTATTCAGAGCCTCTGCCCAGTTTTTAATAGGGTCTTTTCAGTAGTTGAATTTTATGAAATTTTAAATTATATTTTGGATAGTAATCCCTTGTCAGATGTACGGTGTGCATAGGTCTTCTAGTCAGTAGGATGTTTTTTCATTTTGGCGATAGTTTGATGTAATTCCGTTTGTTAATTTTATTTTTGTTTCCCGTGCTTTTGGAATTGAGTTCACAAACACATCTCTAAAACTGGTGTCAAGGAGTGTATTACCTGTGCTTGTAATTGTGTGTTTTAAATCCATGTTTTTAGTCCATTTGAATATGTTTTGTGCATGGTGTTAGAGCACAGTCTCATTTTTGTGTGTAGGAATGCAACTGTGCATTCATTTACTGTAACAGATTTTTATTGGTGTTTTTTTTTTTTGGTGTGTGTATCATATCATGTGCAAATAAGTATATTTTCTTCCTATCAGTTTGGATGTCTTTTCTGTCCTTTTACTTGTCTAACTGCAAAAGTTAGAGAATCCAGCACTGTTGCATAATAGTGGTGAAAGTGGATATACTTGTACCTGATCTTAGAGGAAAAGCTTTCAGGAAAAGGGAAAAGATGACTGCAGAGTCATAGAGTATGATGTTGATTCTAAGATTATCATATGCCTATATTAAGTTGAGTTACATTCTTTCTGTACCCATTTTTGGGTAGGATTTTACTCATAAAGGGATAATTTATCTTGCCAAATGCTTTTTCTGCATCAGTTGATGCAGGAAACCTTACATTAATGTGTTGTATGGTGTTTACTGATTTGCATAATAAACCCCATTTGATCATGTCTGTATGACTTTTATTTGCTAATTTTTTTTTAAGGATTTATTACTTATGTATGCAGAACTGAGGTACAGGCCACAGGTGCAGGAGCAGTGAGAGGATTCACTAGAGGCAGAGCTGGGTAACAGAAAAGGCAGATTAAAGAAGTACACTGCTGAGGGGAGCAGCAGGTGGGTCAGGAGTGGTTTGCTGCACCATGTGGATCACCTCTGGGGGCAGGGATCAAGCTTGCACTGTAGCGGCTGCTGTAAGCTTGAAAAGTGCTAAGCCTTAAGCTCTTGAGCCCTCAGGGAGGACCCACATTTGCTAGTATTTCACTGAAAAAATTTGGATCTATATTCATCTATTCATCACAGATTCTGGTTTGTAGTTTTTTTTTTTTTTTTTGTGATGTGCTTTGTTTTAGTATTGATAATGTTTACTTCATAAAGTGAATGAATGCTTCAGGACAAGTTACATGATCATGAGTTCTAGAAGGTGGAAGAAAAGCATATTGAATAAAACAGTTGCTGAAATCATTAAGGAAAATATAAAGGTATCTGGATGTTAGAGAAGGTTAGCAGCAAATTCTGATGAGAATCACTGTGCCTTCTGGAATGGAGCCAAACTGCTTGGATTGAATCCAGTCTTAACAGCCTGCTCTGTGACCCTGCAAACACTGCTTGATAATCCTGTGCTTTAGCTTCCTTATCTGTAAGTGAGAGTAGAAATAATATGTACTTTATAAAGTCATTCAGCAAATTGAATGAGTAAATACACAAAGTTCTAAAAATACATATCTAGCACACAGAATGAAAATTAACTGTAGTTCTATGTACATGTGTGTTAACTCTGATTAGAAGAGGATAGATTTGAAAAGGGAAGAGGTGATTGAGAAATTATGATAAAACATGCTATTCCTCTACCCTTTGAGGCTCAGAAATGAAATGAGGATTGAAAGGAATTGCCAAAAGCAGAACATCAAGTTTCATAAAAAGAGCAGATAAAAGATGTCTTAAAGAAAAACTGGAAATTTACTGGCTAGCTTTTCCACATCAGAACAGTGGCTCTTAGAATAGAGGGGCAAATATTAGGGATGGAATGAATTTTTGCAGTTACCTTAGTGCTGAGCTTTATAAGAATGGGACAGATGGGATAGGTTGGTGAGGTGCTTCATTCTAGAATAATTATTAGGACAAAGAGGAATGGAAAAAAAGGTCTTAGGAGATGGCCAAGTGACTTGGTACACCTAGACTTTTAGGGGAATATCGTTAAAGGACTTATAAAACCAACTCATTACTTAGTGTATCTTCATACTTCTGTGAACTTTAAAAAATGTTCTAATAAATATTATAAAAATATACCAAGTATAGGAAATAACATCATTTTTCTCACTTGCTCAGTAATGCTTTGTATACTAAGTGCCAGCCACTGTAGCAGATGCTGGAGATTTTGTGCACTCGTGTGTACAAAACAGAAAAGTTCTTTTCCTTGAATCTTGACTTTTTGTATATTATCTAAATAAGACAGTTTGTTTGATTGGAATGTGTTGCTGCCCTTACTCATCAGCTGACGTTTCTTTCCCACCTTCCTTCCTGCATTCCATAGAGTAAAAAACCTGTTTTCATGGGCTGTTTACTGTTTGTAAACAGTATTGGGATAGATAGTGGGAAGCTCTATGAAGATTTTAAAAGTGTTTGATCATTTTTATGTGTTAGATTACTATTTGAGGTGTGGAGAGTGAATCAAAAGATTGAACTGGGAGGTTGTTAAAGGAATGCTTAGATGATTGTGGCAGTGGGGCGAGGATCCTGCTAAATAAGGAGAAAGCTCCTCAGTGCACCTAGAAAAAAGGAGGCAGATTTGAGAAAAATTTAGGACAAGCTTTACCTAAACTGTTTTTACAGAAAATCTGGACGTTACCTATATTTCTGGCTTGTGCTTTCGGGTATGTGTTGTCATCATCAAAGTGGGATGCAGATGGTAAAACAGGTTCGGTGGGGCATGGAGTCCTGAGGAAAGTGGCAATTGGGAGGAGGGCCTGAAGGAAATGGAAGAAAGTTTTAGAGGCACAACAGTCAGGAGCATAGTATTAATAAGGACAGGTAAGAGACTGTTTCAAGAAAGGAGAGAAAGTAATAAACTTCATTTTCTCAGAAGCAAAATGAGACAAGGAGTAAAGCCACTACAAATTGTCCATTGGACTGAATATTAACCAACTTGTCAGTCAACTCACTGAGAGCAGACTTAGTTATAAGGTGAGTGTTGGGGAGGGGTTTGGCATGTGAATGAAGAGGCGACTGCTTCCTTGAGGTATGGCAGTCAAAGACGTATCTATAGTTGGACTGGACTTGTGCTTAGAGAAAAGTTTTGTTTTAAAAAGGCTTGAACATTTTTAATATTTAACTCCAATAGGAAAGAATGAGTAGAAGTTGGAAAATTGAAGAAGGCTCAATCTGCATTTACCACTAAGCAGGTACAAAAAATTAATTTCTCTACTTTGTGAGTCTAACAAATGTAGGGAGTATGACTCAGGTGTAATAAACATGCAGAAGTTTAATTTCCATGTAATAATGCCATGTTTTGACTCTCATGGGGATGAAAACTGTCATCTGTTTTGTCAGTATAAAATTGTGAGCATGGAATCAGCTAGGAATTAGTTGGATACTTTGAATGGCAAATGAAATCAACCTATAGATGCTTGCAGTGGCCCTGTAGGGCCTAGCTCCTGGACTGGTCAGCAGTGTCCCTGGCCAAGGTGCTCCTGTTACAGCCAGTTTTGATTTCTCTCACCCTCCTCTCTATACAGATCCCTTTTTTTTGTTAATCCCACCCAGAGGGTTTCAGACAAGTCTTTGTTCTCTTCTAAGAACATTCTTTTTCTTTTAGCGACTTCTGCAAAAGTTGCTTTGATTTATTATACTGTTACCTGTTGACTTTATTAATGCAACTGATTTGTGGTAATGCTTTGTATTGTTAGTTTTATAAAAATTATATTAATATTCAAGAATTAAGTAATCATTTGTATGACTTTCCAGCATGTTTAAATGTAGTTGGCTCACTAACCAAAAATAGTCAGCAGTTAATTTTTAAATACTTTTATCATAAAAATAATTTGGGAAGTCCAAAATTTTTGATGAGAACAGTTAAAATACTTACATGATCTTCTTTTAGTATTTTGTGTATTGACTCTGGGTTTGTGTTTCTTTCCCATAAAACTGATCCACATATCTCTAGATCTTTTTTCCCTAATGTATAATGAGCATCTATCTACTTGTGTCATTAAATGTTTCAAAGATTTTCAGTGCTGATACAGCTTCAGAGATTTTTTTTTTTAAGATTTATTTATTTATGCTTATAGAATGGGGGTACAGGACAGTAGTGTGGTGGGTGAGAGGATTCACCATAGACAGAATGGGAGCAGAACAGGCAGATTACTGAAATACACTGCTGAGGGGAGCAGTGGGCAGGTCAGGAGAGATTTGCCACACCATGCTGGTCAACTCCCTGGCTGTGGGATTGAACTTGTGCTGCGGTAGCTTCGGAGAGCTTCATAGTACAGTGCTTTAACCAATTAAGTCACCAGGGAGAGGCTGCTTCAGAGTTTATAATTCATCATAATTTGTATATCTAATAGTAGCTAACATAACTATTTAAAAACAACGAAGATAGGCCCTCCCTGGTGGCGCAGTGGGTTAAATAAAGCACAGCACTAAGAAGCTTAAGCCACTTCCGCATGAGTTCGAGCCCCACCTGCCCCGGAGGTGACCATATGGCGTGGCAGACCTCTCCTGACCGCCCGCTGCTCCCCTCAGCAGTGTACTTCGTTGATCTGCCTGTTCTGCTCCCCTCTCTGTCTCTGGTGAATCCTCTCACCCTCCACATCTCTGGCCTATACCCCAGTTCTATATGAATAAATAAATAAATCTTAAAAAAAAAAAGAAGATAGTTTTATAATCAAGTTTTTTGTATACAACCCTGATTGTTGCAATCAGATATATTGCTAAAAGAGGAATTTACTTAATCTTGTATTCTTGTTAGCAGTGTGTGAACATGCATGTTTTAGTTCATTGCTATCCATTAGTGGGAATGTACTATTTTTTTTATTACAAAAATTTATTTTAACATCATTTTGTACATTTTTTTTTCCACCCCGATTGTAATCCCCGCGGATTTCCCATCACCAAATCACCCGTGTGCCATCACCACAATCCCATGCATTTCTTCCCCCTCCCCGTTTTTGAGCCCATTCCCCACTCCACCCCCACAAAATGTCTCTGGTATATGGTTGTTCATTATTTTTGTTATTTTCTCGCCTGGTCCATTATACTCCTGCCATGAGTGAAACCATCTGGTATTTTTCTTTCTCTTTCTGGCTTATCTCACTAAGCATGATCTTTTCCAGCTCCATCCAAGTTGCTGCAAAAGACATATTTCTCTTTTTTGGTTGCTGAGTAATATTCCATTGCATATATGTACCACATCTTTTTTATCCAGTCATCTACTTTTGGGCATTTGGGCTGCTTCCATGTTTTTCCAATTGTAAATAAAGCAGCAATAAACATGGGGGTACAGGTATCTTTTTCAATCAGTGTTTTTGTGTCTTTTGGGTAGATACCTAGGAGTGGGATTGCTGGGTCGTAGGGAAGCTCCATGTTTAGCAGTTTGAGGAACCTCCAAACAGTTTTCCACAGTGGTTGTACTAGTTTGCATTCCCACCAGCAGTGCAGGAGGGGAATGTACTATTTTTTATGTATTTGATAATTTGATAGAAAATGTATTCTAATTTATATATTTAAATATTACACATTGATTGGAGTTTACTTTTTTTGCTATTTAAAATCTTTATGGTGTGGTAAATGTTACGTTTCTTCTCAAGAAAGAATAAGAATGTTGAGTTGTTCCAAGTACTTGTTGCTTATCTAAAATTAAACCTTTGTTCAATCTTTTTGAAGATTCATTTATTGATCATTAATTCCTTAGCATGACTATATGAAGGAAAAGGAAGGTTTTTCTGAAGATGAGGCGATTGAATCGGAAAAAAACCTTAAATTTGGTGAAAGAGTTGGATGCCTTTCCAAAGGTTCCTGACAGCTATGTGGAAACCTCAGCCAGTGGGGGTACAGGTGGGTATTATGATGTTTACGTTGACAGTGCTGTAGGTGCAGCTTCTGACAGAGTCCATCAGTAGTAGTGGTTGAGAAGAACTCAGCAGTGCCATGTGCAGTAACCTTGTAACTGGCCTGTCCTCTTGTCACAAGTTCACCTATTTCTGTACTCTGCAGTCTCTGACCCTGCATTTAGCACTTCTTATTAAAACATTACTGAACAAGTTAATCCAATTTTACTCCTTTGGTGCTCTTCAGTTGTGTGTAATGACATCAACAAGATTATCATCCCTAAGTAGGATTGAATTTGGAAGAAGTTATTGAATGATGTTAAAACTGCCTCAGTCATATTTTAGTTAAAATCAGTCCATTCAGACACTGTAACTTTTACATTTCATTTTACTGAAGAGATGCAGTGTGAGTTAGTAATTTAAAGCTTAGACTTTGGAACCAGACTGTCAAAATTAAAATCTTACCTCTACCCCTTCCTAATTACTTGAATATGAGGAACTTAATCTTGTTTTCTTCTCCTGGGAAATGGAAATAATAGTATTTCCCTAGTAGGGTTGCTGAAACAACTAGATAAGTTAATATTTGTGAAATGCTTAGAAAAGTACTTGATACGATAGATGTATTTGTTAAATAAAATAAATATGATTGTTAAAATGTGATTTTAATAGTATTAGCAATTATTTCTCCATTAGAGCTAAATAAATAGAATCTATACACAGATTGACTTTTGATATAGTAAAAAGTATAAGTTGATTTCCAGCTCTAATCTTATGATTAAGTTTTCATAATAAAAATTATTTGTTCTTGTTACACAATACATTTTAATATTTTTTGGTATATGATGTTTCTTTCCTTTTTTGCCATCTTTCATTTGCTTCTATAAGTGAAATGATATGATATAAATGGGCTGTATATTAGAAAGGAGATGAGAATTTATTAGAGATTTGGAGAGGTGGTTTGAGTGTCTGGCATACATTGTGGCCTCTTAGAATGTAAAGACTTAAATTGGTTTTCTTTTTTATTAAAGTGAACTACAGGCATGTATGCATTTTTAATTTTGAGGAGACTTTTCTTAAATTTGTGTTGTAAAGCTTATGTTTACCTTCTTCGTTTTCCCTGTAACATTATATATAAGAAACTAAAAATTTGTGTCTTGTAATATTTTGGCAAATCTGTTGGAAGATTCCCTTAATATTGGGGAAATAAAATTCTCATAGTGCATGTTTGTGTGATGTCTGTATTCATTAGATATTTTTTGAGCTGTTTTAGGAAAAAAACATTTTAAGAAAATTTTTCATTCTTTCAAATGTAATCAGGGCATTCTTTGTTAACTTTGATCTCATTTAAAATAACTTCTGGTTGTGTACTTACTTTTAATTTTTTTTTTCTTTGTTGGATTTCTCAGTTTCTCTAATAGCATTTACCACTATGGCTTTGTTAACCATAATGGAATTTTCAGTGTATCAAGATACATGGATGAAGTATGAATATGAAGTAGACAAAGACTTTTCTAGGTAACTATTCTTTTCCTTCTTGAAAGACGTACAAGTCAAAATTGTTTTTGAAAAATCATTAAAAAAAAGTTTAAGCAATTTACTTGATTAATGTTTTGAAGAAATGTTCCTGAAAGATTTTCATTGTTTGCATTGGTTGAAACATTTTAGATCTTAAATACTGGTTCAATTCTAAAAGAGAGCATCTCTGATAATATAAACTTGTTTAAAAAGCTAGGAGAACATATTTTTCTTTATGTGGTAGAAATTGTTTAATACTTTGAAACAGCTCTTTATTGATTTTCTAATACCTTAGAGAGTTGTATGAACTGGGCAATAAGTTGTATAAAGATATAATAGATATAGTTGATTATATAGATACATATTTAATCTAAATTTTAATGAAATAAAAATATTTTAGTTACATATATTTATATAGATTTTTCATTAACAAAGATAATTGGTTTATAATACTAGCATCACATTACATAGGGTGCTCCATCTCCTATCTCAGTTCCAATCATAGGACTTTTATTTAACAGCTGTAAGACTTAGGGAAGTTAATAAATTTATATCTGCATGTTTCCTCTTTTGTTATGAGAAATTAGTCAACAAACTGCCTTGTAACCTTGGGCAGATCACAGTACTTGCTTTTTTGGAGCCTCAGTTTCTTTCTCTATAGTGAGTATTTTTTTTTTACACCATTTGTTTTTAGTGCCAGTAAAACAGATTTTGTTTTCCAAATGAAGTCTTAATCATGTTCACCACAGTATAATGGGGATGTTTACTTGGCCTCAAGTTTTGGTTCTTTTCTTTTTTTTTTTTTTTTTAAAGATTTTATTTATTTATGCTTACAGAACTGGGATACAGGCCAGCGGTGCTGTTGGTGAGAGGATTCACCAGAGACAGAGTGGGGAGCAGAACAGGCAGATGGAGGAAGTACACTGCTGAGAGTAGCAGCGGGTGGGTCAGAAAAGGTCTGCCACGCCATGTGGGTCAGCTCCTTGGCCGGGGATCGAACTCATGCTGCAATGGCTTCGTAGAGCTTCATAATGTGGTGCTTTAACCCATTGCACCACCAGGGAGAGCCCACAACCTTTGGTTCTTATAGCATGTCCTGGATCTGGTTCCAGGGATATTTGGAGGACAGTTTGAACTGTATGCAACTGTAAGTTTCAATAAAGCTCTTCAAATCTGTAATTATTGGTGAAACCAGATGAAAATCATGAGATTGAAAAAAGTTTCATTGGAAACACAAGGCAAGGCTGATTTTGATTGTACTCATCCTGTTATTTGTGGTGGTTACTTATCTCTGACCTTTGAAAATTTATTTGATTTGAACTGATCATTTGAATATAAAGCAGTGGTTGAGCCTTTTAAAAGACCATGTAGGCCCTCTCTGGTGGCACATGGTGTGAAGACACAGCACTGCAAGCCAGCCCCAGCTGCTTCAGTGAGAGTTCGACCCCTGGCCCAGAGCTGACCCAAATGGTGCCGCAGACCTCTCCTGACTCGTACATGCTCCTTTCAGCAGTGTACTTCATCCATCTGCCTGTTCTGCTCTCTACTCTGTCTCTGGTGAATCCTCTCACATCCCCAGTACCTCTTGCCTGTACCCCGGTTCTGTATGCATAAATAAACAAATCTTTAAAAAAAATAAAATAAAAATAAAAGCCATGCAAAATTAAGCATCAGAAGTTTCTTTCTGACAATTCGGTTTCCCTTATCCGGAGTCACACAGACTTCTAATTTTTACGTTAGTGCTTATGTTTTCTGAAGACAGATGTTTATACTGTCTTAGGCTGAATATCAGTTACTTATCTGCAGAATTGTGAAATTATACTTAAAGTCTGTGGTAAGGAATAAAGAAGGTCATATTAGCAGAACATCCAACATTTATTTGATAGAAGACTTGCAATTCCAAACTTCTGATTTTCAAAGTTATATATAGATAGAAAGATTTATTTATTTATGCATACAAGAGCTGGGATATAGGCCAGTGGAGAGGGGACAGGTGTGAGAGAATGCACCAGAGGCAGAATGGGGAGTAGAACAGGCAGATTGACTGAAAATACACTGCTAAGGGGAGCAGGGTGAGACAGGAAAGGTCTGCTGCACCATGTGGATTAGCTCCATGGCCAGGGATCAAACTCCTACTGCAGTGGCTGCTGATAGTGTTATAGTGCTGAGATTGAACCCCTTGCACAGCCAGGGAAGCCCCCTAAGTTTTACATTCTTGAAGGAATACTCTGTATAAGGTTTGTATAAAGATTAGGACTTCTTTTCTGAGTTGCCCAGAGTTACTTACCATCCTTAGTTACAGTATAATCCTTCCATTGTTGAATTAAAGGTTATTGTTGAGTTAAACTAAAATGAGAAAGTCTTTTGGAATAATTGCAAACTATAATGTTTACATCTAAAGTGCCTTTGGTTTGGCTATAGGAAATGTTCTCAAAGTGTAATGGAATTTTTTTATCTTGAAATCCAGGTTTTTCCTAGACCAGTGGATTTGCAGCTTTTTTTTTTATTGATTTGTAGTTACTAATGTTTGGCTTTGTCTTTTAGTAAGCTGAGAATCAACATAGATATCACTGTTGCCATGAAGTGTCAGTGTAAGTATCCTTTCATTTTGATGATCATATGTGACTTAATGACTCAAACACTTGCTGTAAAAATAAGTGTTCAGGTTATGTTGTAACTGTATTTTCCTTAAGAAAACCTTTGTTTAATACACAAAACTTCTTCACTAGTATAATTAATAGAAGACAATTAGAGGAAAGTTTTGTGAATTGTGGTTTATCTTGTTTGAAGTACCAGTTTTTATAATCAAATTCCACAGGCAAATCCTGTTTCACTACCTTTACTATCCTTATTCTCCTATATTGAAATACTAAGAAAAATTTATAAATGAAATGTGATCCAAGCCTCTTGCATTGATAGTGATGAATTACTCTCGTAGTTTTCACTGACATCATTTGATTATACCAGTAGCCCTGGAGAGATGCTAACATTACAGGTAGATAATGTTTGAATGAGTATTGTTTTAAAAAATGAGTATGCTTTTGCCTGAAATACATTAGTAATTACTTCAAATTACTACTTAAAAAGTAGTAACCAAAGGTCAGTACTTCAGACAGTATTTTTTAAAGATTTATTTATTTATTCATACAGAACTGGGGTACAGGCCAGAGATGCGGAGGGTGAGAGGCTTCGCCAGAGACAGAGTGGAGAGCAGAACAGGCAGATCAATGAAGTACACTGCTGAGGGGAGCAGTGGGTGGGTCAGGAGAGGTCTGCCACACCATATGTATCTCCTCCAGGGCAGGCGGGGATCGAACTCATGCGGAAGTAGCTTTTGATTCTTAGTACAGTGCTTTAACCCACTGCGCCACCAGGGAGGGCCCGACAGTATTTTTTAAAGTTTGAAATCATTTTACCTAATGAGGGTGATAGTTTCTGAGAGATTCATCTCAAAACTACCTTAAATTGGTTTTCCTTTCCCATCTATTTTTCCTTATACTAGTTGTTTTACAAGAAAAAGACATATTTTAAACTGTCAGATATTCTTCTATTAAACATGTAGAATATTTTGCTTTCTTTTGGATGTTAAAGTAGCATTGAAATTTTTGCCTTTCTGAAAGTAAACTTTTCCTATATTTTTATTTTTTAAAAGGCATCAGTAGCTTTGTCTGAATATTTTAGTTCTTATCTGTTAATATTTTGTTTTTAGCCATATAGTACATGTTGTTAGGTTCTTGCCAGGTTTTGCAGAGTACTTCAGGTCAGCCATGGGATTCTAAATCATATTTTTTACTGAGCAAGTAAAAAAACATTATTAATTTTTAAAGTAATCACTAAGCCATTTAATGCTAGTGGTTTAACTTTGTTAAATAAGCTGGATAGGAATGTGATGCCATGTATTTGAGTTTCCTGTTATTTTAATTGGTTAGCTTATATCAGATATAGTTTGGTTTTGAGCATAAAATGTAAAATTTATAATTTTTTTATATAGATGTTGGAGCAGATGTACTGGATTTAGCAGAAACAATGGTTGCATCTGCAGATGGTCTAGTTTATGAGCCAGTAAGTTTTTTTTTTATAGTATGCTATATCGTATCCTCTTAAAGACAGATTTCACGTGTGCTTTCAATTTGATCTGAGCTAAGGTTTATATATGTCTTTTCTTATTTCAAAATAATCTATGTTCTTGTTAAAATTCAGGAGAAAAAAAGAAAAGTTATATATCTAATACCAAAGCATTGAACCTGTTTCATACCTCTCTGTATTTTTTGATAATGCTTCCGAATTTGCTTTTCTTATACTTGTATAGTGATGAAATTTTCTTGCCAGCTAATAATTTGTAAATTCTATGCTTGCTTGCCTTTTATTTTTACCAAATTTAAGTCTTTGAAAGATTTAAGCTATATCTCTTATTAAAAATGAAGTAGCAGCAAAGAGAAATTTTATTTGCATTTACTTCTTTCTCTTTCCTTCCCATCTCTGTTTCCTAAAACTAGTGAAATTCTGATATTTCTTACTGTTTTCATGCACACATTGTATGTAATGTTAATTGAATCATCAAAAAACACCATGATATTATATGGGGCAAGTTATTACAACTCATAGTTGGAACTAATTCTTAGGAACCTTTTGAGAAGAAAGCATGGACTCCCAATTCCTTCGAGATCAACTGTTGGGCTAGTAGTACTCTTCTTTGGCCAGACATTCTTATACTATTGTGAACCCTTTAAGAAAAATTGCAAAGTGAGTGTCAGAGGTGATGGATAAGGATTAAAAGTTTGTGAAGGGAAATAAGAGAATGTCTTTTGATCTGTTTTGATTGCCGAATTATTTCTAGTTTAAGCAGAAAACATTTATTATGTCTTTAGTTGCCACACTTTAAATACAAATTTTTAGAGAAAAAGTGGCTTTGTTATTGTCACTCTGAACCTTTCTAATTAATTAATTCCTGATTCCTGTGGGCAACTCAAAAAAACAATTGATTTTGTAGTAATTATTTTTGAGGTTTAGTACCTTCCAAGTTTAGGTACAATGTTATAGCAAATTAAACTATTAATTGATTAAATTGTATGAAGATACACTTTAATTTTTGAATTACATTTCATATTGTTTTTAGAATAACTGTTCAACTTTTAATGTGAATAGTCACTTGTATTGCTTTTATTTTCCAAGCCAAATACAGGCTGTGAACAGCACTACTGTGCTTGCTCTTTCCTTGTGGTCTCTGGCACTTGCATACACTTCTGCCAGTGTTTTGCGATTAGAGACCACCTATGTAGCAAGTGTCCTGTTATTTTTTGTCACTTATTACTTCTCTTGTTCTGAATCAGGGAAATCTTTTACTTGCTGCCTATGTGGACTTTTTTTTTTTAAATGATTTATTTACTTATTCATATAGAACTGGGGTACAAGCCAGAGATGCGGAGGGTGAGAGGATTCACCAGAGACAGAGCGGGGAGCAGAACAGGCAGATCGACGAAGTATACTGCTGAGGGGAGCAGTGGGCGGGTCAGGAGAGGTCTGCCACACCATGTGGTCACCTCCGGGGCAGCCGGGATCGAACTCATGCGGAAGTGGCTTTAGCTTCTCAGTGCTGTGCTTTAACCTGCTGCACCACCAGGGAGGGCCTATTTGGTCTTTTTAAATAGTATGTTAGGCTTATTGTCAGTGTAGTATCATTTAATGATTTGCATAAATTCTTGAAAATTTCCAGCACGTAGATGCTAATTTAAAATTATTTAAATTAATGATCACAGATAGTATCCTAGCTTTTATTTTCATGTTTCTTTGGACAGTGTGGGATTACTTATGAAGAAGCTTGTAATCATCTTGACCTTAATTTCTGTAGCACTCTTGAGTGTCACTCTTCCTCTTTTCTTCATATTTATTAAGGTTCTGATGTTTGGTTTTATTTTTTAACTCTGGATATCTTGTTTCTTAAGCTGAGAACCACTAATTTTATTTTTTTTAATGGTTCTGAAAATAATAGCATGTCTTGTAGGCACTGTGAATTTGTTAGATTATTTCATTGTGACAGGATCATTAATGTTTCATTGTAAGCAATTTCTGCTAATTGCTTGAGGAATAGGAAAATTGTCAGAAAGGAGAAAGAATGGCAATATCACACTCTAGACTTGAAGCTATATTATAAAATGACAATAGTTAAAAAAGTGTGGTACTGGGTCAAAACAGATTTGTAGTGAAACAGAATTGAGAACCCAGAAAAAAAGTACCATATATATGAATAGTTAAATCTATGATAAAGGAGTCAAAAAATATACACTGGAACAAGAATAGCATTTTTAATAAATGGTGTTGGAAAAATGACATTTGCATGCAAGAGAATGAATGAAACTAGATCAAAACATCACCACCTTATGTCAAGGTTAATACAAGTTGCATTAAAGACTTGGGGGTAAAACCTGAAGCCATAAAATACAAAGAAGAAAACATAGGCAATACATTTTCTGAGGTAAGCTTTAGTGATGCCTTGAGGGATTTGACCATGACAGCAAGGAAAATGAAAGAGAACATAAACAGCTGGAACTATGTCAAACTAAATAACCTCTGTATAGCCAAAGAAATCAGCTAAAGTGAGAAGACATCCTAATGAAGGAAGAAGGTATTTGCATACCATATATCTGACAAAGAGTTGATATTAAAGATATACAAATAGCTCATAAAACACTGCAAAACAAAGCAAATAACATCATCAAAAAAAAAAAAAAAGATTTAAAGACAACTCTCCAAAGAAGACACTAAAACAGCCAGTAGGCAGTGAAAAGTAAAAACATTTATTAGAGAGATGAAAATCAAGACCACAGTGAAATAACCATTTCACACCAGTGAGAATGGCCATTATTGAAAAACCAGAAACAAGTGCTATCAAAGATACAAAGAAAAAGGGAACCCTCCTACACTGCTGGTGGAAATGTAAACTGACTCACCCCTGTTGAAAGCACTGTGTAGGTATCTCAAAACATTAATCATGGATCCTCCATTGGAATCATTAATTTTAGTCCTAGGCATCTACCCAAAAAATTCAAAAACATGAATTCAAAAGGAAACTTGTACTCCCACGTTTATTGTAACATTATTTACTTTGGCTAAAACTAAGTAGCCCAGAACAGATGAGTGGATCAAGAAGATAAGGTGTATATACATACACAATGGAATACTTACTCGGAGATCAAAAAAGATAAACTCTTACCATCTGTGGCAACATGGAGAGAACTTGAAAGGATATTGCTAAGCAAAGTATGTCAGAAGAAGAAATACTGGATGGTGTCATTAATATGTACATATAAAGCAACTTAATTGATAGATAAAGATAACCTGAAAAGCTAATAACCACAGAAGGAATTAGAGTGGGAAAGGGGGAAGAACAAGGAGAGAAGTGTAATGGTCTATAGTAGTGAAGAATGGGTGAGTTGATGAATGTACTGTGTTGGTAACACTTGATGGGGATACCCAAGTGTTATCCCAGTTAAAAATTAATTGACTAAACTTAAAAGGAAAAAAAAAATCTTAGATAATTAAAAATTGAACTTAGCCAGAAATGTTAGGAACTTAAAACCATTTTATTGTAAACATTTCGTCAATAATTTAAAAATTGTTTAACTTTGTATCTGGTAGGTGTTAATTTTCCAATCCTAATTTATGTTAAAATAATTATTATTAATATAAAGTAATTTAAGATAATTAAAAAAAATTTCACTCTTAACATTTTAATATGCACTATGAATCTTAAAAACCTAACCCTGTTAATAACTTGACTGCTTTCCAAACATAGTACCTTAGTATGCTATGATAGTAACATTTTGCTATTTATTTTATTACCATTTATTTAAAGAATAATAATTTGAAAAGTGGAAAGTGATAATGCCTCGTTTATAGACTCACCACTAGCTGTGATTTTGGGAAAACAACAACAAAAAGCAATTAACTCCCACCTCTATCAAAAAACAGCCTTTTGAGATCCTCACATGCAAAAGGGAAAAAATAAGAAATACTGAAGGTTAAGTTAGATAAGGAAGTAAGCAACAGTACTTAGCAAAAAGTAGGGTGCTCACAGTCCCATTATACCTGTGCTAGTGCTACACTGAACATTCTGAGAGAGCCAAGCGAGAGTCAGGCCATCTCTATTGCAACTACCCCAGCAAGAAGCCACATCATTTTGATGTGGTGTGCTTTACAGAATTCCTTTTGTGCTTTTGTGTATTGGGAGGAGTAATCAGATAGTTTAATCTGATTCATCATGGACATGGGTCAGTGTAACCTGGAACATATGGTATATCAAATTTATATAGACACGAAGGTCACACTACCAGGAGAGGAAGGTTTCAGGTTAATGTGATTCAGTATCCAGAGCAGTTAGAACAACTGGATAAAATGAGCAGTTCTTCCAATTTGGATAGAAAGCAGAGATTTGTTAGGGGAGAGCAGCAGGTTAGGGCTTGATTATGGAGAAATAATAATTTTGACAGTTTAAAAAGTAAAATTAATATGTTTTACTATGAATTGTCTTTCTAGAAATTGAAAGTTTCAAACAGTTTATGTTACAAAGTTAAATCTTGAATTTTGAATTATGAGAAATTTGTCCCTAAGAGTTTCCAGGGAGTCAAGTCTGAATTGCAAAGAGAGTGTGTAGATACGCAGATAGGACTTCTTTTTTTTTTTTTTTAAGATTTATTTATTTGTTCATACAGAACTGGGGTACAGGCCAGAGATGCGGAGGGTGAGAGAATTCACCAGAGACAGAGAGGGGAGCAGAACAGGCAGATCAACGAAGTACACTACTGAGGGGAGCAGCGGGCGGGTCAGGAGAGGTCTGCCGCGCCACGTGGTCACCTCCGGGGCAGGTGGGGATCGAACTCATGCGGAAGTGGCTTAAGCTTCTTAGTGCAGTGCTTTAATCCACTGCGCCACCAGGGAGGGCCATAGCAGATAGGACTTCTTAACCAATTAATTCATTTGGGCATTGCATTGCCATTCATGACATTTGCCCAGCAAGAATATGGGTTTTGGATGCTTGACTATTAATTTCAATTTTTATTTGTGATTTCTATATTAGCATGAACTTAGGTGATTTAAGTCCTAAAGTGCCATTTTGTACAAATGGAGAGATTTCCCATTCCATTCTTATAAATGTAGATAACTGTAATAAGAAAATGTCTGCAATGAGTAAAATTTCTTTATACTGTTTTTGAGTAAAAGCACATATGTAACTTTTTTTGCTTCACTTATATAAGATTAAATATAAATCATGTAGTTGTTTACATTGACTAAAATGATTTCTTGTTTAAAGAACAGTTTTAAAAATATGTTATTAAAAACCAAGAGAAGTTGACAGTACTAGTGATTGAGTTTTCCTCTCTTTCAGACATTATTTGATCTTTCACCACAACAAAAAGAGTGGCAGAGGTAATACTAATAAAAATATTATGGTTCGTAGGAATTTAGATCATGTTTGTTATCAATTATTTATAAGTTATCACTTCATTAGGTACTTCCTTGTTTGAAATAATAGGATATAGTATACAATAGCCTTTGGTTTCACAGTTTTAGAAGCTCTTAGGACACTGCATAATCTTCTCAAGTGCACTTTGAATTTTCAATAAAATTAGTTTTCTTTTGAAATTTTATTAACTACTTTTAAGTAACATCAGATTGAATAGAAAGGATATAAAATTGAAGGCTCTCCTGCTTTACTTAAGAGACCTCGTGCTCCAACTCATGTAATGATATTAAACTTCTTGTGTAGCCTTCTAGAAAAGTTCATGTGTGATTTTTGTGTGTTTGCATATTTTCTTATGTATCTTTCTTAATAAAAATGGGGTCAGTCCATTCTTTTGTTCTATTTTCCAAATAACTTGATATTTCAGTGCATAAGAGTGTACGGATGAAATAATGAAAATTAGTTTATTTTATATCATTGCAGATAGGCATCTAGCTTGCATCCAGGTTGCTGCTGTTAAAAATGATGCTCAGTTAAAATATTTGAATCTAATTCTTTATGTACTTGAAAATATATACATATGCATGTAAAGTTTCTAGAAATGTGTTTTTCCTTTGGGATGTTAAACATTTAGTAAGTTATCATCACACTACAAGAATTTGGTGATGAATGTCTACCAACTTATTTTGCTAATCATTTCAGTCTATACATGTTTATCAAACTACTTAAACGTGCCAGTTCTCAGTAAGAATGTTTAAAAAAAACATATAATAATCCCAAACATTGGCCTAGAGTAGTTTCACTTATCCTGGGTATAATCAGACCAAAATATTATGGGTGAAAATGCAATTTTAAAATTAGCATTGCTTTATGAATCAGTTGAATGTCTTTCTGGACTTTTTTTCCCACTTGTGTTTCTTGGTATGTGAAATTTCTTGTTCAGGTCATATGCCCATGTTGCTTGATTGTTGGTGTTTTTCTTACTAATTTTTAAGTATCTTTTTTTTTTTTAAAGATTTATTTGTACATACAGAATTGGGGTACAGGCCAGAGGCTCAGGGTTGGCGAGAGGCTTCACCTGAGACAGAATGGTGAGCAGAACAGGCAGGTTGACGAAGTACACTGCTGCGGGAAGCAGCGGGAGGGTCAGGAGAGGTCTGCCTCGCCATGTGGATCGCCTTCAGGGCAGGCGGGAATCGAACTCATGCGGAAGTGGCTTTGGTTTTTCAGTGCATTGCTTTAACCTGCCGCGTCACCAGGGAGGGCCAATTTTTAAGTATCTTTTATATATTTCAGTAATACTTTGTTCCCTGCCCTCACACCCATATATTGCTTATTTTGAGTTTGTAGACTGTGTTTTTTTTGCTTATAAAATCTTAACCAAATTTATAATTATTATGCATTATTTTTAACTTTTTTCTTTCTAACTGCTAAATCCATTTCAAAGGCCTTTCTTTCTCTTAATTTCACCATTTGGGGAGTTGGAATTTTGAATATAGTAGACAAAAGTACTGACCACTAGGTGGCTCTGTGTTCCTAGTACTTTGAGTAAAAAGCTGTCAGACGTGGAACGCGTTCTTTAATACAGAAATACTAAAGTGAGACTCCACCTTTCAGTTGGAAATTTTACTCAGTACTTCAGACTATTAACAAGTAGAAGCTGAGATTGTGTTTTTATATAAAAGTTAGGCATTTTTCACCATAGTAGAGCTTTCTGTATACTTTCATATATGGAATTTAAACTCTCATATTTACTGGTACATTTGAGGCAGAAATTACCGCCCCCCCCCACACAAACATACACAGTTTGGTGTTGTCTGGCACTTTTCCAACTGCCTAGCACTAAAAATTGGAAAATGGAAGAGTTGAATACCAACTACATAAAAAAAAAATGTGGTTTTTACTTTCTGCTATCTTTGGATGTAAAGGTTTTAAGTGTGTAGTCATATAAACCTGAAGATGGGTTCTGGCTTCCTGAAATGCCCTAGATTTTCATATTCTGCTTCTAAACATATATTCTTAAATGGACTAACATTCCTGAATAATGCACATAACAAAATGTGCTTTGCCTTTAGAATTCACTGAAGACTTCAGTTTTCTCTGTTTTTATTTTGCTTTTTTATGATATTTAGGATCCAAGTTATCCTCTCCTTCTGTAGTGGTAAATCTCAGGCTCTGGACATAGCCTTTTTGGTTTCTGCCATTGGTTGCATTTAACCTGGGTGTAACCAGACCAAATTTTGCCATGTTATGGGTGAAAATGGTGTTGCAGTTTTAAAATTAGCAGAGTGTGTAACCCCACTTTAATTTCTTAGTAGGAGATTTGTTAAGTTTAATTGATTTTTTTGAGATCTCATTACCTCTGAGTCACAATATGCTCAACAGTAATATAAAGGAAATCAAAAGAACATGACTTATAACAATATGTATTTCAGTATGCAAATGCTTATATTACTAGAAGTAACTCTTAAATTACTTCTAGATTTAAGATGTGTTCTGAAATTACAGTGTAAAAATGACTTGTAAATAGTTTTATCAGATTTCTTAGTTGATGGCTTATGTCTAATTCTCATGAGCATTTCTAGGAAATGTTGATTTTATCATTGTGTGGGATATAAAGTATATTAACAGAATTATATTTGTTTCCTTTAAGTTCCTGTGTTTGTTTTGTTGTACAAAGCTTCTATATGTTAATATGTGCATATGCATTAGAAGTACAATGTCTTTTTTTAGAGTAGATTTAAGTTCATAGCAAATTGGTAACCCTGATTGCTTAGACATCACTACTGATGGAATGAGGCTTCTGGAGCCCAGCTCGTGGGTCTCGAACTACCCTGCCTCACTTTTCCTGCTTTCAGGAAGATGACTAGAGAATACTTGATACTTTAGAAGAGTCCTTCTATGTCTTAACTAAGTGAGCTAACCATTGTTATTTTTTAATAAACAGTAGCTTTCTTTGTGAACCTTACTGTATTTCTGAATTGTTGCCTGTTTGGGTTGTATTTAGGATGCTACAGGTGATTCAAAGTAGACTGCAAGAAGAACATTCACTTCAAGATGTCATATTTAAAAGTGCTTTTAAAAGTGCATCAACAGCACTTCCACCAAGGTGAGATGTATATCTTAAATGTGTTAACAATTCATTATGAATTTGCTTTGACTTTATATTGGTATGGTTTAGTTCCCTGAATTTAACTTTTTTTTTTTTTAAGATTTATTTATACATACAGAACTGGGGTATAGGCCAAAGGTGCGGGGGTGGTGAGAGGCTTCACCTGAGACAGAGTGGGGAGCAGAACAGGCAGATTGACTATACTGCTGAAGGGAGTAGTGAGCAGGTCAGGAGAGGTCTGCCACGCCATGTGGGTCACCTCCGGGGCGCGTATCTAACTCATGCCGAAGTGGCTTTAGCTTCTTAGTGCTGTGCTTTAACCCACTGCACCACCGGGGAGGGCCTGAATTTACCTTTTAATAGAGAAAATGTTATGGTGATGAAGATAATTTTGGCTCTTAAATTTATACCTGTAATACTGACCAGAATTACCACACTATGATATTTAATTTTCATTTAATTTTTCTCTTATGTGTATGTGCTATATACCATCATATAAAATTATATTGTCATGAAGATATGTACATTTTGGTTAGGAATTTTGGTTTATTTCCCTTTCATACATTAGGGTGAATGATATTTAAAAATTGTTTGTGGAAATGCTCTTTTATACTGAAAGCTATACAGAGATTTTACATTAGCTCAGGAAGACCCTGTCATTGTCTCTTTGAACTCATGTGGCATATGCTTTCCATTTCTCATTCTTACTTCCATTCTTCCATGCCCATGAGTATCATAAACAGTACACCTCCATTGGACTACTTCTTTACTTTCTATCTCCCTTCTCTCATTGGATTTAGTGTGCTAGTTAGGTTTGAAGAGCCATGGAGTTTTAGATTTGTGTAACTACAATATGTAAGTTATAATTATTTTTCATCTTGTAAGCATATGATCATTTATAAATGTATAAGCTTCAAAAACTGCTGTTCTATTTTTGACATTCAAACCCTTACCTATCAGTTGATCTGTAAGGATTGTTTTCCCTCTCTACAAAATTTTCTCCCTTGAAATGGTGATGCTGTTGAATGTACTCTAAGTAACTGTATCTTGTTGTATCAGGGAGGATGATTCATCGCTGCCTCCAGATGCTTGCAGAATTCGTGGTCATCTATATGTCAATAAAGTAGCAGGGAATTTTCACATAACTGTGGGCAAGTATGTTCTTTTTACTTACTGAAAATACTTTGAACAAGTTGACAGCTTGGTTAAAGGCAGAATCTTTATCAATCAAGTAATACATTGTCTAACGCTGAAGTACTGCTTATTAAAATGTTGTGTCTATTTTTGATGTGTTGGGACTGGTATCTGGGGCTTCAATCTCGGGGAAAAAACTTTGAAAATGCCTTCAAAACAAAAAATAAAACAGTTGTCATAAATTTTATAGTAAAGTGAATGAACTGTAAGTAAATGTGACCTTCCACTTGCCAAGTTTTTTATAGTCAGAAAAGCTCTTAAATAGACATCATTTGTTCATTTTGTTGGGTGGTATTAGGTTTTGTTTTTTTTTTTCTTCTTGGTAGACCTCATCAATGAGAATTTTTTTAATTCTAAAAAAGTATTTTGATGGAGCTAGAAATTAGAAGTATATGGGGTAATATTAAATTAGGTAAAAGTTTAGTAAAGACAGCAGACCGCCTGCCTTCATGAGCTTCATCCAGCACAGACAATGTTATGTAAACTTGGTAAATTCCTGACTGAGCTGGCAGATGCTTTGATTCCCCCTGACTCCCCTGCCTCTCTCTATAAAAAGTTGCATCTGTGTATCAAAAGTTGCAGAGTTAAACAATTCATTGTAAAAGACTTTTTTTTTCTCTGTGCAAGGTGTTATACTAGATACCAAGGATGAAACAGTGAATATAAAAGAACACATTTTTGCTTTTATGTTGCCGACATTCTATGAGAGAATATGTGCGAACACTCTCTGCCAGCAGAAAGACGCCAGGATATATCTTCTTGTGGATCCTTTTATTCTGCTCCTCACTCCCGTTCTCTCTCCCTCTAGCTCCGCTCTCGCTCCCCCCCTTAGGGGAAGCGCATTGCTTAAATAGCATTCATTGGCCAATTAGAGCACTGCTCACGTGTATAACAACCATATTTGGCAGGACACACAACGCGCATACATTGATCATGCAAAAGCATATCCAATAAGATTGAATTTCCTTATACAGGCGGCTGTTGACTATTTTGTTTTTCACCAGCTCAACCGCACTGGCTAAAGGCCAGGCGCCATCTTGGCTGCTGAACCATGGGGCTAGGGTCCCGGACACCCCGACAAATATGAGCTTCACACTGATTACTGAGTTGCACTGAAGCTATAAAGGAAAGTACAGTATGGCAGATAGAAGCCATAGCAGGGTGCCTACCCTGCTTTGCAATTTGGCAGAGCTTTATTGAGGAAAACTTTTGGACTCTAGAAGATGATTAGGAATTTTTTGTAGGCGGGAGAGAGAAAGAGTAGAAGGCAAGGCCTTAAACAGGAAAGAGCACTACACGAGGCTTTTCTTCAGGGAGAGAAAACTTCAGTTAGCCCGTCATGCGGCGTGATTTCAGTGTTGACAGTGGTACCATTAGGCATCTGTTTGTCTCTATTGTCCCACTCTTCTGGGCAGTCATGCTTTGTTACTCATATTTGGACTCATTCTTTCTATCTTCAGTCTGTAGCTAGAAAGCTTAAGATTTCTTGGTATCATGAAGGAAGCAGTAGCAGTTGACTCAGAGATATTTAGAAGATTTTATTATGTCTTTAGATGCAAATGGTATCCTCCATAACTTACTGAAAGAGGGAAATGTTCAGTCTCCGATTCTCTATATCATAACCCTTTATTCCTATTTTTATTTCTCACTATGTTCATACCATCAATAAGTGGGATCAAATGGGAAAGCTTTGGTTTGTGTCTGTATCATTTCTGGGGTAGTATATAAACCCACTTTAATTTCTTGGTATGAGATTTGTCAAGTTTAATATTGATTTTTTTTTGGGAGATCTCATTACCTCTGAGTCACAATATTCTCATCTGTAATATAAAGGGGAAATAAAAAGAACATGATTTTAAACAATATGTATTTCAGTATGCAAATGCTTGGATGTGAGTACTGTGGAGGAGGTAATAAATAGGCAAATGATTTCCTAGTCTGTGGAATTGGCAGATAGAAATCACTGTAGTTGCAGGTTGAAGCACACACATCACCCTCAATATCAAGCAGAGGAGGTGCTGTCCTGCAACAGTGAAAGCTCTTTGTAATACTGTGAATGCACCAAAGTATGACTTCTATATCTTGGGAAACAGTGTATACTGAAACTACAACACAGTACTTTAATACTTGAGTGAAGTCAGATTCTCAGATCACATGCTCAGGTTTCTCACTTACATGAATGGCATGTGGAGCATTTGGAAGCCATGTGTGATGTGAACATTTGTGTGAGAGAACATTGCAAGATGGCTTGCTTCCCTGAGTGCCATCTACTGAGTCCCCAGAGCATTGCCTCCCACGTAATTGTAACAACCAAAAGGCATCCTCACAACTCCCCCTATATTCAAAACTATTTCCTTTCTATAAAATTTACATGAACTAGATTCTTACCTGGTGGAATCGAAAATACAGTGCACCAGAAAAGCAGTTGGTAAATTCGGAACACCTGGCCTTCGTGCATAGCGTTTCAGCAATTAGAGAACTATAGTCGTCTGTACTTGGATGGTTTATTTTGATTTTTAGTTTTTCAAAGGAAGATTTTTTTCATGCTTTTCATAAGTGTTTGAATATGTCACTAACATTCTCTCTCAAAAAGAAAGTATAATTTTCCTTCCAGAAGAAAAGCAGGGGTGTGGGAGACAACTAAAGTATGGTATAATGTAGTTTGGTGACTCAGAAAAGTTCCTCTTTCCAGATTTGTTTACAAGTTGGCAGGCATCCTGTGTAGACTCATGGATGGTACCAGTGGGGATGGAAACGAACTGCAGTAGACTTGTGTTTTGTGGCATGTTTGAGGTTAACACACTTAATGAGTGAAGGTGCTTCACCAGACCAAAGCTGCAGTCGTGCCAGTGCGCAGGGAGCAGCTCTGTGGCCGGAATGTTGTTGTGTTTGATGTTAGTTAGACGTTGATGTTTTCCAACTTCAACAAATATTCAGACCAATCAGTGCAGATTCTTTAATGTGGCAGTGGCATTTCATTGATTACAGATAGAATTTACAAGGTGTTTTCAATTTTGAAGAGTTTTTGCTGTCAAACCTTTAGTTAATTGTTAGACTTGGCAACCAGGTAAAGAAGGAATAAGGGATTATTTATGAACATCTTCAAAATGAGTTTTTGAAATTTTTTTTTAAAGGAATGATAGCAGTTATTCGAAAATATAAAGAAATAGTTTGAATTGGAGAGATGGCAGCTTAGAATGAAATGTAGGTGAACAATTTCCTATAGGCACAGGCAAAGTACTGCTCGCCTCTTGTTTTTGTATCATCCTAGAGGAGGAATAGTATTTGGATTTTTAAATGTTTGAGGATAAATTAGAGGGTAATATAACACACGAAAAATAGATAAAATTCAGTTTCCAGTTTATAAACATAAAGTCAGTGTGAGAAGACAAAGTGCTGATTGAATCCTGTGTGGCTTCTTATACTCTAGTAGATGAGAGTAGAATGGGGGAAGGCGACATCCATCACTTTGTGCTGTTGGTTGTGTGCTCCCAGTGACAATTGTAGTCAAGCTGTGTCATGTGTTTGCTGTTCTACAACATTTAACTACAACATTTAACTTTGTAATAGAAAAGTGAGGGGACTTCACATATACTTTTAAGACATAATGCAGCTGTAGATTATTATATCAAATTTGACATCAGAACATTGTATTTATAAAAGTGTGCAACCACACTATAGCTGTGCTACAAGAAAATGAATTATTTCATTATTACCAAACTAAGGTCTCATCACTACATTCCTAACGCACAAGAAAGCAATGGTTAGAAAACTTACAAAATTCACAATGCAATATCTATAAACAAAAATAGAATTTCTTTATAAAAACTATTAAAAGATAAGCCAAGTAAAGTCTTTACTGGTTAGTTAATGAAATTGATTGTAGCACTCAGAGCAGTGTGTCCAGGGAGGTTACTTGTGCCTTGGATGATTAGTCTTTGAGTGAAGTGACAGTATACTCACACTGAAGACATTGATGGTCCTATACAGTAGTTAGTTGAAATGCAAGATAGATGACTTTGAGTGACTCTCCTTAGCTCTTGTTGAGTATCAGAGTTTCCCACACTTAATTCAAAAATTTAATTTCAGCTAGTCTTACAGAAGGTGTGGAGAAAGAATAATCTTACTCGTTAGTTGGTGGAAATGTAAACTGGTATAGTCATTTTGGAAAGCAAGCGTTGATTTATTATAAAATTAAAAGGGAAATAACTCTGCAATTTAGAAATCCTGCTTTTGGGTGTCTGTGTGTGTCACATGTTTATTATGGTATTATTTTACTTCTTTACAGTAGCTGGGTTGTAGAAGCAACCTGTGTCCACTGACAGAGGACTGGTTAAAGATGTGGTATGTCCACACAGTGGAATACTACTCAGCTATAAGGAAAGATGAAATGTTGCAATCAACAGTAAAATGGAAGGCCCTGGTGGAGTTAAGTGAAGCAAATTAGATATATAAAGATAAATATATATAGAATGATCTCACATATATAAGGAAACAATGTAGATGAACTGACAAAACAAGTATAAACTAGTGGACGCTGATAGTGGAACTTAGGTTTCTGAAAGTGGGTAGAAGGGTTAAAGGGCTTTCAGAATTGACAACTACGCTGTCAAAAGTTAAAACAAGAAGCAAAATCGCCATTCTTATATTTGGACATATTTTCTTACCTTGATGCAAGTACAAAAAAAATGTTCATGTTCCAAAACCCATTTAGCTTTGAATTTGAGAAAATTCTGCCATACTTAGTGATTGATCTGTGATGCAATGACATGATAAAAAGCAAATAACCAAGAGACAAATCTATAAATTTGGATGGATGGTTTTGAAGACATTAGTGAATTATTTTGATCTGTTTTGTAATGGGACAGACTAACTAATCCCAGTTAAACAAAATGTTTCCATAGCAAAAACATTTGCATTGCAAATATAAATCTTTAGTTATTTATATTACTAATATACTTTTAATCTCATTAATAAAAAGGTTGTGAAAATTTGTATTTTCTCTTGTTATTTAACTAACTACATAATATCTTCAGTTTTGCTTCTTCATCTACGAAGCCTAAAATACTTGCTGCGTGGTTCTTTAAAGGAAAAATTTGTCAGCCCTTATGACATGAGTAGACATAACTACTTAAATCATAGGGAAATGGTGTTCTTGTATTAAGATGTAATTTAGGAAAGATCACCTTTCTGCTTTTAATAAGTTTCATGTTTAGATGCTATTTCTTTAACCTTTTTTTCCTCCTTTCAGGGCAATTCCACATCCTCGGGGACACGCACACTTGGCAGCACTTGTCAACCATGACTGTGAGTAATCATGCATTTGTTTCAGTAAAGATGGCGTTGAGAAATGTTTCTGGGATTTAATTTTAGTCTGGTGTATGTTGGGACTGTCAAAGTCAATAGTTTTGAAAACATATGTGCAAAGGAGAAAATATGTGATTAAATTTGTTGACTCTTAGTTTTATCGTGAGCTACCTGTGTTTCTCTTTAGTCGTGGCTCAGAAGTTGAGCTTAGTGAAGAAATGCCGAGGTATGCTTTGTATTACTTTATACTCTTCTGAAGTATATGTGGACATACACACACATATAAAATACTTGAGTTCATTTTATGTAAAATCATAAAAAGTTTATTTTTAAAGTCTTTAGAGAACAGAAACAAGCAGTTCCATTGAAAGCAAATTTGGTCACATTTAACAGTGATTTGCATCAAAACTACACTTGCTGAGAGATTTGTTATTTAGCAATATAGATACCACCAAGCAACGTGGTCCTCACACTGGGTAAGGATTTGGACTAGGAAATCTTTTTTTTGGTTGTCTGGATTAGATACAATATTAGTCTTAGAAGCTAATTTATTTACTAAATATAGAATTTAAGATAGTTTTTATCAGAATTCATTTACCCATGTACATATAATTCTCACGTTATAGCCATCTTTCCCAATATGTGGCGTTAGGGACTATATTATAGTTGCAGATTTTAGGTAATTTCATTTGAGAATAGATAAGACTATGAATCAATCTGTAAGAATTTAATTCTGTTTTTTTCCTTTTAGCTTACAACTTTTCTCACAGAATAGATCATTTGTCTTTTGGAGAGTTAGTTCCAGGAATTATTAATCCTTTAGATGGAACTGAAAAAATTGCTCTAGATCGTAAGTATTTAATAAATACTGTTGGAATTTGCATGTAGGCAGTGATTTTAGTAACTGTAATGTTAATACATTTTTAATAATCCTCATCATGCTCTTGTAACAAATACACAGGTATCTTTTAAGTTTTATTTAAATGGTTGATCTTCAAATGGAGGTTTATGTGGAGCATTTTTCTTGGTAGTGGGTAAAAAATGTTAAAAAAAAAA